GACATAAAAAATAGTAATAGAATTGACGAGTTTAAACATAAATATAAAGGTATGTGTCAATCAAGATATATGCAAGAACAGGCTCAATGATTAATTAGATGGAACATTGTGGGTGTGGTGTACACTTTGTAATAATTCTTTAGTATATTACTTGTGTGGTGTAGAAGATAATTATTTAAGAATGTAATTATGTAAGAATGTTAACACTGTTATAATCTTTTTTTTTTTAGTATAATACTTGTGTGTGTAGAAGTGAATCATTTACTGCTTGCAAACCAATGATGTAAGATGATGTCATGGGGTAGGACTGGATAAGTCTGACTTCTTCCTACTCCGTTCAAGCATGTACTAGGTATAAGCAAATTGATATTAGATTATGTGTAAAATTATGTGTGTTGTCATATCAACTGTCTTTACATGCTTGAAAGAATAAATCAAATCAAAGTCACTAAATTCAGCACCATGGACAGAGTCAGAGAGTGGTGCTCACTGAGGTCACTAAATTCAGCACCATGGACAGAGTCACTAGCTGATCCGCTAATAGTGATTCTAGTGATCAAAGGGTGATTCTGTCCTCTCAGCTGACAATAATCACTTAAACTACAAGAACAATTTATTCTCCATTGCTCGGTATCTGACTTACATGCAAGTTTCCACTGATGCATGTGGGTCTGATGTCAGGGATCAATATTTTTGCAATAAACACAAGATGTCACCCTGTAAAGGACAATCCACTCTTGACTGGTATCACTGTGGATTCATTTCACAAAGTGGTGGTAAACTAGGATACATATTAGTTCAAGGAAAGATGATGAAAGTGAATGCTCTTTCCAGTATTGTTCCGCTTCACGTTCAAGAAGTAAAATTCACTTACACTACGACGTGCACAGTCCAGACTCCCAGGTGGGAGTACGCAGCAGCTCTGGGGAAGCAGCGGGGTTACGTGCCTTACTCGGGGATAGCTAGATGTGTTGGTGGTGTCTAAAGAGCTAACGGAGAGATACACCCCCACCCACATTTTCCATTCCGCATCGTTGGATTCAACCACCGAGTTTCCCGTCACAGTTAGCGCTTAACACACAATCACACTACGTATAGGAATACGTATAAGGAAACAGGAGAGACCCCCGTGTGTCCCTGTGTAACTTGTAGCATTGATTCTCCTTTAAATTTCTGCCGTGGCTGGCTACTACCTCTGCCACTTACCATCAGCAGCAGCAGCAGCAGCAACAGCGGCAGAAGCGCTGCTTCTTGATGTTGTGGTCGGGAATACGCATGCGCCCGGCATTGGAATTACTGCACTGGCAAGAATAAGTTGGACATCGCCTGTCTTCACTAAAAGAAAAAACACATAAGTATGGCAGTGTTCAGAATAAGAAGAATGGTGTGTTTTCGCATCTGGTTGTGCCCCCTCGTTGTGGCTGTGATGTGCGCCCAAAGGTAAGCGAAAGGGTCGGGGAATGCTCCACTTATTTTTATTAAGTGTGACTGTGTTGCAGACGGAAAATGACAAATACTTGGACACTTTATGGTCTAACAGTATATCTTACTTAAGTCTGCTGCTTGTCTATCTCTTTTTCATCTACAGTGCCAGTGTCAGTGACCCTAGCAATATGTCTTTGGTTAAAGAAACGGTGGATAGACTGTTGAAAGGTTATGATATACGATTGAGGCCAGATTTCGGAGGTAAATGATTTCGTATTATCACCAACTCTGCTCGAGTTTGCGCCTTGTCAGCATGTATAATAGTACAGTGTTTAAATTAGAAGGCATTACTCAGTTAGCTTTGCAGTTTCGAAAAGGAAATGGGACATTGTTTTCGGCTTCTGCAGGTGCCACAGTCATAGATTTTAAATCATACAGACGAAGTAAAATGTGTCAAAACAACCCAGAATACCAACAATATGGGGGAACAGATGAGTGATGTGGTTCAATGATGGATCTGGACGATAAAATAGCAACATCGGTTAATTTATTTGATTTTTCTAATTAAATTATTTATTCCATTTCAGGTGTTCACTGCGACGGAAAAAGCTAGATGCTTTAATGTCAATAACTTTGGGGGGAATTAGCAGCACTTTAACCACAAGCCAGCGCATCTAATCCAGCCGAAAAGAACACTGCAAACTATTATCTAGCTGACAACAGCTACATTCACGTGTTATCTGTGTTAAAATCAGGCACGAATTATTGAACTCACCGATTCTCGTAAATATTCCAATGAATCATATAGGCTGCACATGATGTACTGTTTATATTGCTTCTTGTTGTTTTGATCTGTCCCAGGTCCTCCGGTTGGAGTGGGAATGAACATAGACATAGCCAGCATAGACATGGTATCAGAAGTCAATATGGTAAGTAGGCCATTAACATACTAATAGTATGCGCCCCCCTTTTTGTACTAATGACCCCTGATATGCATAAATTACCAGGGGAAAGACCCTCCAACGATTTCGGGGAAACCCCTCTTAACGCTGATCTGTGCAAATGCCTCGCTTCCACCGATCTCTTGCATTGTGCGTTTGATAAGTTAAACAAATCATTAGATTGTATGAGTATTGATGGCATAAATTGCAACCTCACCGGGGTTTTGAAATTGATTGACATAGATGGGCGAATTGTTTTTGGTCCCATAAGCGGATTGCTGCCTAATTTTATGAGCAGATAAACAGCCAAGCAACGTTAACTTTACAAAATCAACGATTCTGGGGAATTATAGTCGAATATACTCATCTCTTGAATGTCTTAGGGAAAGTTATAGCATTGGTTTTAGTCCATGGTAATATTTCACACTGACATATGTCTTGCTTCGTGAGAAATGTTTTATATTGTACTGTCAAAGCTGGTTTGTAAGTGCTTTACTAGAGATAGTGACTCTGGAAGAAACTGAGAGCTGTGGTTGAGTATGAGAAGTGAAGATTAAGTTTTGCTTCATACAAGTGCACCTCCTAGTGATAAAATGTTAGAACTACATCTCAATTTTCAGAAACGACTGCATGTTATCCTCATGGAAAATCACTTTTGACATTTATGATACAGTTGGCAATGTGAGCAAACGCTGATATTTATATAAATAACATTTTCCTGTGATAATATACATGAGAATTTGATCCATCATCTGTTTTTAAATTCATTAATATTTATAACATTGTCTCATGCTGTCGTTGACCACTACTATTGGTTTCATTAACCTCTTCTTTACACTTTGTTCAGATGTGTGATACGCTTAGACTTGTTTTGGAAAATGGTACGAGTCACGGTATGATGCCAGGGAATGATTACATGGAATGCAATGTTTTGTCCCAAAGGCAGTTGCTTATGTTGTTATCTTAGTGCTCCAGTAGAATATGTTAATGGGTAGAGATGAGATAAGAAAATAGATCATGCCATGTTTATTTTTATGTATTTGAAAAGTTCTGCTCAACACACAAGCACTCACATACACCTCCCTCAGCACATCCACAGTGGTCTTGAATTCATAGTTAAAGGCTGTTTCTTTTCCCTGTTCAACTGGTGCAAGCACTCGAACGTTTTTGTTCATGTACGTGTGTGTGTGTGTCTGAAAGTTAGATGTGTATATTTCAAGCCTGTATATGTGGCATTTCTAGGAACCATATATTATATAAGCTGTTATTTTACATCCTGGTTACGTAATGCATACGTTCTATTTTATTCCATTAATGCAAAGCTTTTCTCAGCAAAAAGGAAAGTGGTGATTTTTATATGTTGATTGACCACACAGTTGTGTTAGGTAACAAATAAATCTGATATCCAGGGGAAATCCAAAGTAAATTGAGGAGGAAAAGGCAAGATGATGAGGCAGTGTTGCAAATATATGATTTACAGAATGTTGTATCCTACTATTGTTCACTGTTGTTTCCTCTGGTCTATAACTTTCAGAAGAAATGTAGAGTATATCCAGACGTACATCAAGGTCAAGGTTTATATTCATCCACACATGTGGCCAAACCAAAAATCCCTCTCTCATCTAAACACAAAGCCAATGCTGCACAGCTTCGTTGATCGTCCCATTCCTTTGTCAGGTTTGGCCTAGTAAACACCCTCTAATGTAAAAGGGGAGTCATTAACACCTGACCCATTGGAGTCTCATGAAAAGAAGATGCCACACATGTGGCTAATGGTTTCAGCATCTTTGATCTTATCTCTTTCATATAAATGTAACCACTTTTCAGGACAGCAGCTGGTTCCATTTCCTCTCCCCCATCTGGTTCTGTTTGCCACTTATTTTGGTCTGGTGATATAACCACCCTGTGTATTTTAGTTAGAGAACAGATGAGGCACAGGTTTGCGGATAACTGAGGTATGTCACTAAGGAATGCATCCAGCAGTGCCCTAATAGCCATTATGGCAATGCAGGACATCTAAGCTTTAGTGTATTAGCAGTTTTCTTCTATCACTCACCACTCCTCTCTGTGGAAGGCCTCACATTAAAACCAGACACATGAACGAGTAACAACATAGTACAGTATACTGTATACTGCATGTTTGATTTTACCAGAGGGGCCATTAAAGAAGGAACTGCAAAGAGAGTTGTCTTAAACCATCTGTTTTAGCAGTTTGTGACCAGCGCCACAGTGCAGAAACTCATTTAGATACAACACAGGCTTGTAGCACACTTTAGATGAGTCACCAAACTAAGTATGCAAGTCTTCAAGGATGAGTGGCCCAGAGGACATCAAGTCCTCTCTGGTATTTGTCATGTATAGATATCTTATGTCCATATACACAGCCTAGGCTTAAGAAAGTTGCAGACCTCCAAAGCCCCACTCCACCTGTTCTTAGTTAAAGAATAGCCTTTAGCAAAAGATAGTAAGTGGTTTAGCTGTAAGGTTAAAGCTGTGCACCAAATAGTTGGCTTTTCTGAGTCTTATAGCAAGTAGAAAACTCCATTACATGCCACTTAGGCTCAGAGCCATATGGGGAATGAGGAGACTGCTCGGTGTTCATTACATTCCCATAAAAGATCACTAGTTCCTGGGTGTCAGAGCCAAAGTGTCCAAGCCTTCAAGGTTGAAAAGGGGTAGGGTATGATTATGTAAGACCTAGCAGCCACATTTTTCACCTTTTGTATGTTGACAGAAAGAGACTGAGTGATACAGACAGCAACAGATAGGGAGAGAGCTGTGACATTAACACGTTGGCATGTGGAGAGCCAACAGTGTTGGAGTGAAGGTCATGTGTCTAGTGTTGCTGAGGGGTCACAGAGAGCCACACACACTGAGCACCGGTGTCAGGTTAGACATTGAACTGCAAGCGAGCTTTAATTCATGCACTGGTCAAATGAAGAATGAAAAATATCCAGGCATGTAAAGCCAATGACCGATTTCTTTCTTTTTCCTTTGTCCCACCAGTTCTATTCTGTGCACTTTCTTTCTGCACTGCTGTTTAAGTATTAATATTTGCTTTTGGTCGAGCTCCTGAGCACTTGAAACCTAAGCCAACAGTTTTCACAGGAGAAGAAATACTCCTGTCTGAAGATGATTTCAAGTTTTTATCCTTCTCCAAAAGGCAGAAATACCATTATTGATGCACAGAAAGGTCAAGAGGAGCTTATTGATTGTCAAAGAGTGACTGTGAAATTCAGAGCCCCCCCATCCCACCAATTTAGTACAAGTCATTTCCATCCATTAGCAGAAGGTATGCCTGATGAGATAGCTGCAACAAGATTGCAATTAAATTGGGCTTATGCTATGTATTATACAGATGTGATATATCATAATAGATGTTGGCTGCAAGGCAGGAGATTATTGCTTGCCATGTGATAATAGAAGGGAAGAAAGATTTTTAGACTTTTGTGTGTGGTATTGTGTTATATCTCATCTGAATCAGATATTAAGTCTGCATCTGTAGTTTTGTCCTAATCTATTCAGTAGCTACCTTCAATTTTTTGTTGCTGATGTTAGGTTATTTTTTAGTTAGATAGATATTCAGAGATTTGTTGTCTATGAATGTTTAGTGCAGACTGCAGGCACGTCAAGGTTACAGGAAAACTGCTGTTAGTGTCAACTGTAATGCTAGTCTTTTTTTTATAAAATCTAAAGCAGTCTCTTTCGTCTCATTGAGAGTTCCTGGTTTGAAAGAACCGGAAGAAGCTACACAGAAATAATAGCTTATACTGATACAAACTGTAAATTGATGAGCAGTTGAATAAGTCGGTGTGATTAAAATTTGAATGTTTCAGGTTTTCATGACATGGATTTAAACATTTAACACTAAAAATTTAAGGGCATTTATCAATAGATAAATGACATAATTGATATTTAATGATAATGAATGTGACTTTATATTTATTTATCTTAATAATACAGTGACACTGTAATGTCTCTTTTGTCACTGCACTCTTTTGTCTGGCTAGATTTCCTTAAAATTATACACAGGGGTTGATCACTCCAGTCTTTGTCAGTAATCCAATTATCTCCATGCTATGCTCCATGATTGGCTGTATAGTAACTAATGAGAGTGTAGAGGCAATGTGTGAAGATTCATAGACTGAAACATGCTCCGATTGTGGTGGGAAGTAAATAAAAGGAAATGTGCTAAACTTAATTAAATGTGTGAATTTATGAACACGATCCAATGTTTTTGTCCTGTTTTGAGATGAACTGTCATATTAAAATGATCTCCTCACTGTACTTATGACTCATAACAAGCTAATGAGTAAATAGGGATTGACCTCAGTCCACAGACATAATCCTGGGGGATACTTTGTTGAACAGCACAGTATAATGTGTCATGGATTCGAGCGCTGTAGTTGGCTGCTTTGGATATTGTGTTGTACAAAGAGAAGCTGCAAATAAAAATAAGCACAACAATGGTGTTTACTTTGGAAATGTGCAATGGTTAATTGTCCAATCACAATGCTTGGTTTGGCTATAAAATATCATTACGGTACTAAAAACCAGTGCATTAAAAGTTTTAGTTACTGAATGTCCTTTGGAGTGACTCTTGCAGGTTAGTGTCACCTTCTTATCCAAAGTCTATATTAAACCTGCAGCATATAGGGTGTATGTGGATCTACACTTAGGATGTCTCTAGTGAGGATGAACACTCCCCCTGTTTCTCAAGTATATACTCATATTCATAAACCCTATTTCCCCACTAGTCTGCAGTCACTGTTCCTCATACTGTGGTATGTTACCGTAGCCTCTAGGAAAGTAGTTGTTTGAATTATGTAACAGACAGGGCAGAGATGAACTCAACCAGGATTGTCAATGAGAATTCGACTTGATGCTGAAAGGAGAGAGTTAGAGTGAATATAAGGTGTGCAAAGGGAAAAAAACAGTTTTTAACAATAATATTCATTTTCTACCGCTTAGTCCCTGAACGGGGTCAC